GGGCGCGTAAACTCAAGTCCAAATCTCTGATGACGCTGTGGCTGCCCAGGGCCGGATTAATAACGGACCTCTTGAAGGATGTCAAGCACTACGAAAGTCGTTTATTGAGCTCCGCGACCACATGAACCACATCTGTTAGTGTTTCCAGACACATTCTGCTCTTCACACGGGATGGTACTCAGACCCCGATGATTAGTAGCCCTAAACCTTACTTATTATGAGCTGACTCTTTTCCACATCACGTGGCCCAATCCTGACTCTCCTCGATGGTACTAAACTAGCTGTGCATCCAACTGGTCGACCAAAAACAGCTAATTCAGGATACTCAGCTGTGTTCCCATATGCAAAATTAGTTTTTTATATATGACCTATCGTTTATGCTGAAGCCGACCCATATACGTCCGCTTGACGACCAAAAGTGAATAAATCTTGAATAGACAAGCACATACCAGTGGGTATGCTATGTTCCTGGGTGCAGCGGTCTGTCAAGAGGACTGTCTGCACTAGAAATAAATAATTCTGAATGAGCTGCGGTGCTAGCTCATCGACTTCTTTGGCGGTATACCCCAGCCCTTCATATATTTGTTGACTATCGTCATCAGTCGGTAAATTATGTGTCCCAGTTAGAGTGCCCAACATTCAGTCCAGTAGGTCTCAAACAATGTCTCAGTGTTCTTTAGTAGTAAAAATCTTGGCGCAGTTCGATAAGCTAAATATACTGAAAGACGAAGAGTTTAGCCGATTTCATCTCACAACAGACGCCTTTAGAAGTGTGAAGGGTTTAGGAGTATGTCTGTAGTTTCGATTTACCTCGTAGAAATGCCGTGTGAGGGGCCTCTATCTAACCTATAAAAGTCCTGATGAATCGAAATAAGAATTTTAAATACGCATTGTTAGAATATCAATAAGACTTCTTGGTACGGCTGGCATTTTCTAAAATGGTTAGTTCCGTTTTTAGCAAAAGCAAGAAGTCCCCAGTACTCTTCTATCACATCTCTTCCATGCGAAAGTGGTACGAATTTTTACAAGGTAACCTTTTGGTTTACCAAATGAATGCACATGTATAGTGGTGGGTGATGATGCGCCACGTTACCTACCTGGTATGGCTGTAACTGTTTTAAGCGCCCGAAGAACCCGCAGGGATCGTAAAGCAGAAAGATTTCCCAGACTTGGCACCACGAACATCATATAACTAATAAAAAGACAGAAAAAGGTCAGAGAAGATGGTTCATACAAATTTGGTCCGTAACATTCCAGGTTCGAGATAGAACCTTTGGAATCCTTTGGAGAATTCTATGAGCCTTAATAAGGGCGGCTCTGCTCACTCCGATAAAGAAGTAAAACGCTCCCTGTTCATGAAAAGTAGGTAATTAAAACCAACTTTTGCGCAGGTATATGGTCTTTGAGAAGATACCAAACAGAGCTGTGGCTTATATATTCTTGCTACATTTCTGGGACAAGATTCACTTTCGAAGGATCTCCTTTGACGCTAATGTCCTAAAGCCATTATTTTACTAGGTTTGAGACCATCTACATTCAAAATGACGCCAAGTAACTACGCCATCAGTGCACTTATTGATGATGGACATATATTGATCGCTCCTGGATACTTCTGCTCCCTGTCGGATTCAAAGTACGAACAGTTGGATGGTAGTAGTAATACTAGTAGTATTATCCGCAACCTCCGTTACTGTTTTGCCGTTAGTGGCCGGGTAGGTAAACTGCACCGTTTTCTGTTGAGGCCTACGTATAACCTTAATGTGATAACGGGACGAGTGTGTGGAGCTATTTTCCTCTGACCATACGGAATGAGAGCCGACCTTAACAGTAAGCAGTCGCGCCCAACCCTTCCTATACTAAGAGTAGCAATGCTGCAATCGAAACCATCAAGGTTAGTCCGAATGCGTTAATTGAATCGGAGTAAACCTTACCAGACTGTACAGATGACATTAAGAGAACAAAAAGATAAGTGGTGTTATTTGCTTAGAGTTTGACCTAGCTGCCTATAAGAAAAAGTGGTTTTCTACATTGACAGTTCGACCGTCGTGACCGACGATGTCCACCGTTTGATCCACAGCAAGGTGGAAACAGGCACGGTGACGTGGACTAGTTTTTAGTGTTAGTAGACTTACGCAGCATCTACCGCACTCTGAGCTCATCGCCCATCTGGGCCCGGTGTCAAGGCAAAGTCAAGAAGACCAGAGGCTGGAGGGGGCGCGGATGGCTGGCACTGCCGGAACCACACCTAGGCGTACTACCACACCCCTTGGTCCAAAGCAAACACTTGGCTAGAATTTTAACCAATAACAAAAGTAGGAGACGGCAAGAATCCCAGTTGGGACGACGTGAGCCGGCAACTGGGCCTGCCATCACACCCCGAAATGTTGACAATTGTTATGGTGTGCATTCTGATAACGCCTGTCAGATTCTGATATGGCCTCCGCGTTGGTCCACGTGATCCGTTTTAATGACATATGAATGAGTATTTCAGTATATTTTCAAAAGGTTTTCTGATAATTCTGCAGTAAAGTTGCTCAAATGTGATTTTAGTTAAATCAGGAAGGCTTTTTAGGTGGTAAGATGTGCGCAGGTCTCTTCAACTCATAAGTATGGAGTGATTTTTGATATGTCCCAGGAAGAAATTCGGTCTCTGTTAGATCGACGGGAAAGCAAGACTTTCCTACAGAGCTATTAGGAAGACTGTGTAGTTTTCTGGCTCATTCAGATATCTTGCCTTGTTTAATTTCCGAGGAAATTAATGCGCGAACTTGGAGCAAATCTTTCGAAAACGACCTTTTCAGGCACGGTCCAAAGTTTGATATGAATATTTGAGCCGAAATCCATCAGCTACTGCGGAATAACCGCGTAATATTCACAAACCGCCAACAGGCAGCCAGTAGTATAGAATTTTGCAATGATTTACCGTACTAACAACACAGGAATTAGCTAAAAGCCCAAACACGCTGACGAGCCGAACCCCTCGCAGCTGCGTCAGGCAGCGGCACAAGATCGGCGAAACACGCGTGTCTGGGCTTTTAGCTAAATCCTGTGTTGTTAGTACGGTAAATCATTGCACAATTCATTCAGATATCCACTGAACAAGGTGTGGCGTTAAGCTTTTTATTTCTTGTAACGTGCTGGGAATCTTTGCTGATCAAGATAATTGTCCTGCTCGTGGTCTTCCAAGATGCCGCTCTTCTTTCTTTACATCGGTCATAAGGGTGATCTGTTGTCCGCTCTCCAATTCCTTAGTTAATGCCATGGGATATTTTCCCATTAGTAAGTCCCCGGCACATAAACTCTGAAGATAACTCACGCCAGCATTATAACTATAAAGTCTAGCCAATTCCAGGCATCACGTAGGTATGTGAAGTCATCAATGATGAGGCCGCAGGCGATCACCTTGATGCAGGCTTCGCAGGTGTAGAAGACTGTAAATACAAGTCTAGGGAGAGAGGGAGAGAGATAGAGCATCAGTGGACTAAATGAAGAGAATTAGTAACGAGGAAAGACTGTCTATCGAACAAAATACAAAATATGCGCCTGATATGTATTATTTAATTCCAGCTACCCGTTGGTGTACACATTATTTTGTATCACTGGCTTGCATCTGAAATCATATTAAACCAAAGCGAGTGATGTACACTGGCACCACTTTCACTACGCTGAAGGCATGACGGCTGCTTTCCAAACTACCTTGGCACGACCTCTCAACAGTTAGTGGAGAAATGCCTATTCGGACAAAGATGCATGTATATCAGCAAGAGGGTGTGCGACTTACTCAACAAGTTTTGAGGAGTCGTTTAAGGCCATAAACACACAATTTACGAGAATCGCTGTGAGGACGACCATGCTGAACATTGTGGAAGTTCCAGAATTCCCGGCGATTAGATGAGTTAAGGAGAAATGGTGATACGAATGAATAGGAAAATTGGCCAGGATAAAAATACGAGACTTACAGCTTAACAGACTGACGCCATTAAAATGACAGCTTGAGAAGTTGAAGCGGGAACTGGACAAGGCGAATACTACTGCATATTGCGCGGCCAGTGGTCTGTCAGTTTGCTGGTTTTTTGAACGAAGTCTGTTTGACGACCAGACAGTGTTACGTCTTCTTGAAGCGTTTTGCAGCCTGCTATTTTCTCAAGATACGTACGTCAGAATAGAAAAGTAGTACATGTTCACTAGTATGGCTCAAGAAACGAATAAAATCTGGCAAAATAGCTCTAAATGTAAATCAAAAAGCAGAGCAGGCCTTATGAAGAGTTGGAAAAGGATATGGATGAACCATGGCATAGATGGCCGCCAATCTTATCGGATTGAATGGACCAAAGACGAAGAGTGAGGGAGTAAGGCTCAGACGAAATATTGTTTTGTCCCCGCTTATTACGACAAAACTCTATAATGCGAAAAAGACCTTCAAGTTATCTTTTATACTGAATAGTTCTGTCCTAATTAGCTGAGATGGGGATACAGCCTTAAACAGGTCAACGTTTCGGAAACCCGAGATGGCACGTCTCAAACAGAACTTTAGGCGAATGGGCACAACTAACTTCGTTCACTTTCGTTGACAGCTGTTATTAGTACTTTTAACGGCAGATTTTAAGCAACTAGAAATGACCCCGTATAACGCAAATACGCCATCATCAAAAGTAAAATTCGGTGAAGAGCTTTACTTAGGTTAATTTAGTATAGATTTTAAAATGTATCTAGCATAACCTGTAAAAGTTTTCAGCCACATTGCTTGGACCGCGCTCACTTTCTGCAGAATTCTACTGTCCACTTGATCACATTACCAACCTGAAAAAATTGGCCCACCTTCCTCATGGTCGTCAAGTTCTAGAGGTATGGCTTTTGAACTTCTAAGCCCCACTAAAACGGATGCATGAGAACGAGCGAGTACAATATTTTTCCTATAAGTTGCATTGACAGTTCGACCATCGCGGACGACGACATCAACATTGCACCCCACGGAGTAGGCGCAGCGCACAAGATTTGCGCGTGAATTAGTTTATAGTGGGGGAGACTTGCACGTATCTACTGCACTCCTGTCTCATCCACCTGGATCAGACGGCAAGAAAGTGCAAACCGACCGGAGGTGGACGCGGGTGTTTGGAGGCTGGCAAGGCTAAGCAAACAGTCTAAATGTGTCACACACGACTCGGTCCCCACCACATGTAACAGAATACAGTAAGGTGAACTCGGGCCTCACACCAGTGGGGGTGCCATTGAGGCCACATTGAGCAGGCAATGATGTCTGACCCTCAGTTCTCCAGAGACTCCCACCTAGACCGAGCCATCCCGTCAGTCGGCAACCTCCCCAGTCATGACTTTTAACTCGCCGTTGTTGATTCGATCACGTCAATATATATATATATATATGCATGTCAAGTGGGCGTTTGACCCTCTATGTTGTGGTTAGGATCTCACTCGATCCCATTCTGTCCACCCTCCAGCTTGCTACTGGCGACAACGAATGCTATGCCATAGGACACATACCACATACAATACATAGGCAGCTCGCTAAGAGTGCAAGAGGCCAGTCTCAGACATGCGTATATACCTCACCTCATAAGGCCTATGACGTACTCATGATCGGTAATGACCGTGAAACAGCTGTCTGCGTCTGGCCTGTTGCTCATGTATTATATACATGCATTGGTTTTCCTCTGTTAACAATGATTCTCGTTTGATACTTCGACGCTTCGACAGGCATTCATATAGCGTGCCTTTTGATGGGGAGTTTGAACTACCACTTATAATCTACTTATCCAGCCTGTTAATGAGATATCAGTTATCGATCTAAGGTGCCATACGTATAGATTTTGTCTCTCACTGTCAAGTCCACTGCTGCGCTCAGATCGAACCTAACCAGCTATGTCGTTCAATATGCAATCAGTGTTTGTTCGCAGTTACCATGACTACTGATTACCGCCCAAATGGTAATGTGTGTCAAAATACAATGTTATTTTCCTCATTACGTCCAGTAACACGAAAGTAAGTAAATTCCAATATCATCCCTTTCGAATTTCCCACAGCAAAATGCAACCGTATACTGAACCAAGGCGTTGGCTCGAAACCAACCATAACTTCTGACTTACCCTTTTATTCCTGTAGAAGTCGTCCATCTCTTCCAGCGGGGTGCCGGTGTATCGTCTGGAACAGAATCTGTTACTCAAAGGGGGGATCAATTTCTTTCCTGTGGCGAAGATTAGGCTAGGCTTTTCAGGCAGCTCCGGTTCGTCCTCATCTTCCTTAATTTCTCGATCCTCCTCAAGGGCTTTCGTTGTTTTAACTCTTTTAGCCCCCGGTTGCGTACGACCCTGATCGAGCGTTTCGCTGACTGCATCTGTCGAAATTAATGCAATGGAGGTCGCACGGATACCATCTTCAGGTTCTTCCTCCTCATCGATATTCATTTCGCCCTTTTCTATTACATTTTGCAACCATTCTTTTCTCCGGCGACGCGTTCTTTGTTTCTCTAAAAAATATTTGTCATCAAGAATAGAGCATTCGGATGTTTCCCTCTTTCGCCTCAGTTGGGGGAAGAGAATGCTAATGATGAACTTCAAAAGTTTCTTTTGACGGGTAACATGGAATGAGGTATATGCTCACGAACTCTGTGCTGCAACTGCAACCGACACAGTTTAACTGTTATTGAGGACATTCACTTTGATAGAATTTTAGTATTGAGGGCGTAGGTTAAGACTACCATTTTGTAAATAGTCAGGCCTATAGTTGAGAACATTCGATTTATTAGTGAAGTTGAGTTTATGTTTATATTGGCGCACATACCATTCGACTTCAAATCATCGCATTTAGTTCAATTTCATCTAAACGACCAATGGCTTCTGTAATGGCGCGCCGGTTTCAAGCCTTGGTCTTTGGTATTTGGCCGCGAGAACATCGATTCCGCTACCCAACAACTCCGTCCATAAAGGGTAATGTTTTGGCTCATAAAGCGCAGGCTTACTAAGCAAGTCCGCACCTAAAGCTTTTTGTGCACCGCTAACAGTTGAGGCATTATGCATTTGTTGAGGCATAAAATATGAAGTTTTCTCTTTTTTAGAATAAAAGTGCTTACCTCTCAGAGTCTACACACACCTCACTAAATTCTTACAAAGTAGCTGAAGGTCCCGTCTTGGTACAAGGGTAAAACTTCATCTGGCTGATACGATTATCGGTTTCCAGCCCTGAATCTTACTTTCCTAAGGTGTCTCATTCTGTAACATACTATTCTTTGTTAAAGCTAGTAAAAAATTGGAAATAAGACTGCACGATGGATGATGAGGATGAGAGCGATAAGGAGCTCTGTCACTGAGAAATTCATGAGGAGTGAATTGAGGTTAAACTTGACAATCGGTGCTTTCCCCTCGGTGATTGCAACATTTTACCGAAATCCACTTTTTCTATGGTTGCTTTCCCCGTCATTCCTACACTTCTTCTTTTCACCCACGTAAAGTACCTAAGACAGATAACACTGCGTCTCAGCGTGATTGGCGAAATTTCTCGTCCATGTTGCTTTCAACGTCCCTTCTAAACTTGAGTCGAAAATTTTTGAAAAGTTTAACTTATCGGAAATTATGTGTGACAGTTACTATCGTTACTAAAGCGCCTACGATAGTAGGATGCGTTATGTTAAACGGAGAAATCATGCAATTGATTTACGGTCTCATATGTTTAACACAGCGTCGTTTTTCGAACCTTCACATATTATCCAAGAATGGGTTAGCGATTTGTCACACTAAAGTGAAACCGACGATTAGCAAAACACCCGGTAATGATCACCTTGCCGAAATGTTACAAAACGGGGACAACTAGTGGCCATCTAATCAAGATTGTGAGAGCGGTAACCAAACCTCCAAACTCTTGTGATCCTTAGCACGGGCCTCCTAAATGGGTCACAGATCGCTGTGCAACACTACGGTGGCATGCACCTACTAGGCGTCATCTTCATGGTCCACTCAGTCGTTTTATTTAATCACTCCCTCATGCGACTTCATATCAAACCCTGTATTGCCATCACATGATGAGTAGCCTGCTCTCATGCGTTTGGCGGGGATAAGGGTAACATGCCGATCTATCTGTCAACTACGTAACATAATTTCGTTTCATGAGAATTGCGACGTCCGCTCTAGTATAACAATAGGTCATCATCCGTGGACCACAAGTCTTTAAAACGTTGAGGAAATTTTGGATTTGGTAAGCCCTTCTGCAGACATACACCATGGTGTGTCAGCGACAGTCGAAAATGCGGCCCAAGAATTGAATCAGCCGAGACGATGTGTGGTTTAAATTGACCCTGTACATTGCATAGACTGACGCTCTAAAGCCGACGAAAAGTTTCGGCTACCCTTAGCTGAAAGGTGTGTCAAACAGGGAACGCCCAGGTTTAGCATATGCTGTGCGCTTAGAATGCTGTCTCCCATTGGAGCTGCTGGTACCTAAGCTCCGTTCCTCATCCTCTCTCCACAGAAAAGTCATACAACCACTCGATAATCTTATCGATCATCTATGTGCTCCGTACTCGCTCCCCCATCTGTTTAGCCAAGTTGAAGACCGAGTCGTCCGGGATGTTATTTTGCTCTAGCACAGCCGTGACAAGTAGTGGCCTCTGCAGCTCTCTAAGTACGCGCATGGGGTCAGCGAAGGCAGACCCTGAACGCATTTTCCGTCCCACGGTCTAAGTTTTGCATAGTTGGTGTTCCAGTTATGTAGACTGCGATGTCCTGACCTGATCGGCTGCCATGGGAGGTGATGTATCAGGCTGCTGATAATGTGTAACACAGAGCTGACTTAATCAGCCATTGCACAGTGCATTAAAGGTCTAGCTCCCAGCCTAGCTCCTTTGCCGAAAAAATACTATGTTTCCGAAGAAGTGACCATTAAGTGACATCTATTCACAACATGCAGTAAACGATTGAGATTGTTTATACTTTCGACAGCAACAGCACCTTTTTTGGCCATTCTGGCTTTCTTGTCGCGCCGCAGTTGACGCCTGTATCGCTCCTCCGCTAGTCGCACAGACTCGGGTGTTATTGGGCGAAACTGTGGCAGATGCGGCTTCCGGTCTTCCGTTAACTGGCTCCGGATGCTCATGCTACAAAGAGAATGTTGTAGGAGTAAAGAAACTGACTGCGCAAGAGGTGCCACTACAAACAAGAGATGCTCATCTTTGGAGCAGCTGTCTACGAGAGAGGCATTTAAAAACTGCAATTTTCCTAAAGGCAATACGTATGGCAATTTGACTGCATGATAAGGACATTACTCCCTACTCCATTCTCTTCAGGATAGATGACGGTGTTCACGCATATTGCATCGAATGCTCACCGACAGTAAGTACTTTAAAGAGGTGTACCGTTGAAGGTGCCGAGACCAGAAAGAACAATTTTGGCTACTTTATGCTTGAGAGTCAGTGTTACCTCTGCTGATGAATAGGGTTTTCCGGCACTTGCAATACAGTTTCGATTTCCGTAGAGCATTTCGGCCTAAAGTGTGAAGCTTTAATTGTGTCCAAATTAACTTTAATCACATGCGAACGGCAAAAAATGATACGGTCGGACGAGGTACGGTTAAGTATCCCACTGTTTTATTTTTTATAAAGACCAGTAGTGATATTTTAAATTTGTAATTCTGTCAACAAATAAAGACATTTCAAAGCAGTTCGTAGTATCTGAAAAGTCTTCTTTTCAAGCTCAAACTTGAAGTTTCTTAATTTGACACCTAAGATGCTCAGTAACGCCCCGTAGAACAGTAGTTAGAATTTGAGCTTAAGCCAATGAGCTGGTGCGCTGAAGTAACTGAAGTGTATAAACTGTATTCAAAGATTACTGAAGGCTATTCCCCTGGCACGGTTAAAATCCACCATGGTTACAAAACAAGCTATATAAGAAAAAGAAGACTCAACTGTGGGTACCGTATTTAAATTCATTTTGCGAACCATGGTCAGGGGCAGCAGAGGATCTCCCAGCTGCGATTGGCAATACTCGGATCTATGTGTACGGTATTCGCCGCCTACAAGTATGTTAGACTGGAGCTTCAAGAAAAACGAAACTCCTACAATGCATTCCCTTATCAGGCCAGATCGGTCAACCCTACTCATGCACGACACTGCTCGTGTAAATAAATGTAACTGCTGTCTCTTGGGCCTCTGCACATTGCTTGGAGATTTATTGCAATGACCATGGACATTTTACTTACCAATTTTTTAACGGATAACATAGAGTTTTGCATAAACGCTAGTTCATTTAACACCCATCTTCCCCTAGCAACTGTTTCTTTCCACTTACAGGCTCAACTGTTCATCATATATTTATCGTAGTTTGTGTAGTTTGGTGGCGTCCAGTTAGGTGTTGGACTGGTATTTTTGTGGTGAGTCATCACGAATTGAATTTATATTCAGGGCTATATCCTCCTTCTTAACCGTTTCCTCTTCTTTGGATCATGTCCTCTGAGAAACGAAGTTCGGTTACAGTTTGAATACAATAAGTAAATCTGGCACTCGACCGCACTAAATATTTGGTAGTGCGCATCAGAATGGCTACCAACTTAATTCGGCTACTCTGTGAGCAATGTATCCACTCCAAATTGAAATAAATGCCCCTATTAGAAAGGTGGTTTCGCATTTCAAAACTCCCAAACCTTTGCAATTCAGACGTAACAGCGTTAGGCCCTATCTATCCTAAGTCAGCCGGCTGATTTAAACCCCCGCAGCTTTCCAGTCATAGTGTATGATGAGTAATTAAGAAAACAGATTAACACCTGGTATTTTAACTTGTATGCATACACTGAAAAAGCACGCGATTTAAAAGCCTGAAGGTTTGTTCTGAGGGACAGGAAAACTGCGTGTAAATGTTAATTTTCGAAACGTACTTCTATTATTTCGTTGCAGATTTGTCTTTTTTTTACTGAAGGGCTCATGAGGACCAGGCAGGGTTATAAACTTACGCACATCTGCAAAAAGCTAACCTATGTTCTTGAGGGGGCCCCTTTGATGATTAAGGAAGAAAAAACAATTGCAACGTATAACACATAAAAGCGAACTATTCAAATTCAGTAGATTTTCTGTTAGCTAATCGAAGGTAAATCATACTGGATCCATCAAGCAAGACTTGATGAGGTTTAATGATCTACCAAATGTGACCTACTGCAAGATTGCCGAAAAATTTCGAAAGTTCACTCGTAAACCGTTACTCTCTGTGATGTTTTGGTTTCCAGGGCGCAATTAGGGGGCGCTAAATAAATCCCCTTATAGTAAGTAAATTCATCCGACTCTCCGGCGTCCTGTCAGAGCTGTATGCGATTATGCATGTGGTACAACCTTTGGAAATGGCGATGCTTATCATTCTGGCTGTGAACTCAGTTTTGCTGAGTACTATCTAGAAAAAAATTAAGCGACGAGAAGCATTGACCGAAGCATTTAAAGTTACTTCAAAGTTCGGAGGTGACAAAAACATAATGGAAGAACGGACTTCTTTCCTTGTTTCTAGTAACCAGCCGCTGTAAAGCCAAAAAACACCAAATCGTACGAAGCCAGTCAACGAAGGATATGGATAAAACCAGGGCTCAGTTATGAAGACAAAGTTTGAGATTTGTTGGAAGGTAGGTATGAGTCGAGGGTTTATACTCTACATAAATGTCGCACAGCAAATCTTTTGCCCGTCTTAAACGAAATAAAGACATCCTGTATGTCCAGAAGATAAAGCGTACAACAACTCGGTAAGTAGAACAGCCCATAACAAAAGCCTACTGTTCAGTGCCTAAGAACTCGTGCATCTTTATGCTGGCTGGCAAAAGGTCAGAAGTTATAATTAACAAAAGAAGAATATCCCGTTAGGCGAGTAAATTAATCCATAGAATGTCATCAGGTTAAAACAGTAAAAATATTTCCATATACCTGTTGCGGTCGTACTTTTGATAAACGAATAGCATTGTTAAAGGAGACAAGGACGACTGTAACAAATATTTCTGGATTGCCCGCTCTCTTCAGCCAGCCGTGCTACCAACAATGCACGGAGAAATGAAAACGGATTGCGAAGCGCAATTTTGCGACGGCGAGCACCTTTCCCACCAAAGCAAATGTGCGGGGGTAGAAATTGGGGGTGTAGAATCGCAAACCACTTACTCAGTAGTTCGGATTTTGCATGTGGGGATGCGTCGCATCATCGTAGGACTCCTGTCGACTTTGAAGACGGATAGAACCCTGCAACCGTGCAAGTAATCCCTTGCTACAAAACATTTATGTGACAAGTAACTTCTTGTGCAAACTGTCCGAATAGCTGGATTCCTTTATTTGAAGTGTACGCTTACGACATTTCTTCCACACTTTGATGAAGACTGAGCGAACCGTTAAGTTGCCACAGCTCTTAGGCAAGACGAAAGCTCAAAGACGCCAAAACGTCCTAAAAACTCCTAAACTACGCTTGACAATATGTTTACTGCATGACGAAACAAAATCTTCGGAAGTTTCATGCCTTTTAGAGTTTTGTTTTGCGAATACGCACTTCGTTTCGTCAGTTTCACCACACACTTTTAACGCACCCTTGTGTCTCCAAACCATTTATTCATCCAATCTTTATGAAAATAATCAGCCTGCGACAGGATAACACGCATGGGATCGCCTGGAAAAATGTCCACATTAATTAGTCACTTCTTTACCAATGAAAGGTGATTTTATTCATCGTCTTAGACTCACTTTAAATGGTTATACTTCTGTCGTTTACAGAGCAGTGGTCACAATCTCGATGAAAGGCCTTTTCTTAGGCCCGGGTAGAGCCGCTTCCACGGAGCGTATGACTTTACTACTGCAAATGCGAGTCAACCCTTCTTATTATTGATCACTTTAGGGCTTAAAATGGAACCATTTTGAGGGTATTTCACCGATCGCCGTTTTTCGAGTCTCATCGAAGTAGAGGGTCATGCGAATGTTATTTTCCTCCACTTTATTGTCTTGTTCGCTCAATTTCTTCTAGGAAATATGTTTCCAGCTTCAAACCCTGAAGTTAGTCATAGGTCCGAACTAGCTACATCAATTCAGGATGTTCGCACATTTTCCGACCACGTACACCTACTCTCGAACAGTAGAATTTCGCCAACCGCACAATGTTTGCCAGATTATTTGGCAAACCTGCATCCACTAATGCGCAGTTATGCAAATAACTTTAAATTAACTTTAATTTGCCGCTTTTCGCACCAGGGCTACTTAATTCTGACTGCGTAGCTTACAGTTGGCATCAGCAGCCAGGTTGGGACTGTTAACAGTGAATTCGGGTATCTCACGATGTAACCTAGTATTTGATTGCTCTAATAGAAACTGCATTTTTGTTTAGGCAAGTTTACTGCGCAAAATCATACACAGGGTGTTATCGCCATAATGACATGCCGAAAATCCCTGTTACTTGTTTGAACGAATTAGGCTGGCACATCATCACACCTAAGTACAGTGGGTGACCGATCTCATGAAATGTTGTCCGAAATTCTGGAATGCGTTTCCAATTAGGAAGGATTACTTAGGTGGGGTTGTTATACTGATTAGCATACAGCATAACCCTATAATATTACGGACTTGTCAATATGTCGGCTTTTGAGTGCACTTATTTTCGACCTGCAGAAATCACATCCGGTAAAAAATGACTACTTGTGTAGCATGTATTTTTCCTATTGATTTTCGATGGTCTTAAACATTCGACTATTTTTTTATAGAGAACATGCACAAAAATATTCTGTCTTTTGCTCATTTGATAGAAAATCACATTGTGTTTATATTTTATGCTCGAAGGAAGTGCATCTTTTAGGTTTTACAAAAGTTTCTAATTATGAATTATTCAAAATCTGCCAAAATATCAATGAATTATGAGATTTTTAAGACCGTGCAGTGCCACTGCATGCAAGACCGCACATGTCCGTTTACTAATGTTCCTCGTGAAATGTACAACGCCGTTCGGATCCATTGCAAAATTGCATAAACTGTATGCGGTATCTTTTTAAAGGCATAGAGTCATATATGATATTCCTTACGCGGGAGACATGCACCCTATAGACTAAAATTGCTAAACGCTGATGCAATGACATATCAGGCTGAAAATTATTCGAGAATTAGG